AACAAAATAATACAACAAATGAATATCAACTACATAAATACAAATGGTTGTGCACATATATGTGTGTATATAATGGAAATAAAAGTAGTGCAACAATGTAAAATTTTCCTAGTATAAAGCGAATTAAACTGAAACCTTACCTTTGGTTAGAGTCGCATTCGTTATTAATGAATTTATCATCTTTTTCAATATCATCACTATAGGAATCTTCCTCGATATCACTATAACTAATGAAGTTGTCATTTTCTTCATCTAAATTTTCCATTGGTTGGTCACACAATATATTATCTACATCAGTACATCCTAATGGGATCATATCATCTCTTTCTAAAGATGGCATTTCATCAATTTCCATTGAATCAAAAACCTCATCAAGAACATGTTCTTGGTAAGGCTCCTCACCAGAAATCGATTGTTTTTCAAACTAGTTAAGAACGTCAAAAGACCCGTGAGGTTGAGTTCTATCTACAATGCTAACTTCAAATCTTCAATATAAAAAACATGTTTTGCTTGAGAGGCAAACACAAATGGTTGGTCCTTATACCAAGTTTGTGATACATTTAACTAGTAATCTTCCAATCCTTATCTATTTAGATACATGTACTATCCTTTACATCCCACCTTTAGGATAAATTTGAGGGTGCACAATATTTTCATTTGGAGTATTACAACTTATGAATAGGTTCTTACTTGCAATTATGAAATGGCTTGGGGGCAATTTACTGAGTACATTTTTGTCCGTCATGAAGTTTGATTTAGATCTTCTCATGATTATGGAAGGAGCAAAGACTAACAGTTTATAGTTAATTTTTTATTTTGTTGCTTGAGGAAATCTTTTTTTTAATGCTTTTTTTTGAAGTATTCGTCAAATTGTTTAAAATTTTATGATAATTCCATAAATTTTTGATTTTATAATCAAACTATGATTGGATTTTGATTTGTTTCGAATGATATTAAAAGATTACGATATTTTAATTACAGGTCAATTTTATACCAGGTTTATGAAAGTTGTTGCGAATTGTTTTGTGAGTGACAACCACTAAAGTCTACACTATAGAGTTTTTTAGTAATTGTTATNCCCCCCCCCCCCTCTCCCCGTCTCTCTCTCTCTCTCAAAATAAATTTATGTCTCTTATGAGCAGAAAGAAAATGAAGAAGACAGCAGTACAAGTACAAACTTTGGACTGAGGTTTTCTTTTCTTGTGAGAAAGATAAAGTGCAGTGAATTCTAACAGCCTCGCAAAGAGCCTAGACATTATTCAACTATGTACATTTATGACCACCATTTTAACAGCATAGATCGTACTATGCTCAATTTTGTTCTTTCACCAAAAATTGCTTCAATCTTGTCACAAAACCTAACCCATAATCAAACCCTGTGGGTATCATTTGGTTGAGAAATATAATATAAGGTAAATGAGTATTTTTTGATCATTTTTATGTATACTTTGATGTTTGTAAGTTTACTATGTGTAATATAAGGACTTGAACAAAAATATAATGCTTATCTGATCTGATGAAATTTTGTGCGTCCTTAAGTAGACCTAGACACCTATGACCGTACTACCAAAAAAGGGAAGAAATTCTATGAACCGAACTAACTGGCATTCTCATTATCATTTTACGTGATCTATAGTTCTCTCTTTTTTAGCATGACAATATAATGGTGTTTGTTTTCTTTTTATGGTTGTACACTCAGCCTTATGCATAATTTTAAGTACTGGATCAAATTTTATGTAGACTAGGGCCAATAATTTTTAATACAACTTGGCATGAAATCAAATCATGACATATTCTTTTAGATTTAATGGATTTGGATCATAAATAGATCGTGAATGGATTAAATCAATTTTGACCCAATACGAGTTACATAATATGATAATTTTTTATAGTACCAATCAATCCGATATGAAATCAATACGAAAATTACTGGATATGAGTTTGACTCGACACCTTTGGATCACATCATATTGATCTGCATTTCTGCCAATAAATGATCAGAACAAAATTTTAACACAATTCGACTTCATGACTCCAACACATGTCACAACATGACCCATTATCAACACTAATCTGGATCCGAAATTTATGAGAAACTCAAAAACCAGGTTCTAGGTTAGCTTGCTGCAATTGCACAAGTTGGCAAGGCTAAGTTTGAGGCCAAAGTTTTAAGGTTTCCAAGTCAAATTTCAGAAAGTGTAGCCTAATTNGGTTAGCTTGCTGCAATTGCACAAGTTGGCAAGGCTAAGTTTGAGGCCAAAGTTTTGAGGTTTCCAAGTCAAATTTCAGAAAGTGTAGCCTAACTGAAGAAGTTTCTTTTATTTTAGGTTCTTGTCACCAATAATTTCAAATCCCTTGGAAATCAGTATCACTTCAACAATTCTCGGTTCTTTTTATTATCCATAGTTGTGAGGATGATATGAAAATGTTATGTATTTAGAGAGGTTGATGGAGGTTGTGGAACACTTTGAATTTGTTGGACCCCTATGTAGACAGAGTGGGTTCCACCATATAAATGCACATTACTTCGTGTCCTTGAGATAAAATTCACCGAAGACCCCCTTCAACTATTTTAATGAAAGATAAAGCTACCTAACTCCTGTAGCTAATTAAATCTACATCAAATGCCACTCTTTTTTTATGTCAACTAACTATCCCCAAGTAAATCCGTAGCTGACAATGTTTTGCATTTTATAAACATGCAATATCTTTTTGGTAGTGGAGAATTGTCTCAACTACGTGTCATTTGGATTCATGGCTAAATCACAAATCTTAGATGCATGCAATCAGTAGTAAAACTACATGCATTGGTTAAACTCGGGTTTTGTGCTGCCAATGAAGCTTGAACTTAGATTGTACAGATTTATGCCTCACCATTTGTGTGACTACTGAACCAATTTGTGCAGATTATAAACCTAGCAATTAGGATAAATGTTTAAAGAAAATGAGGAATTGATGATCAACCTACTCTTTGGCTGTGCCCACTTGCAGTCGTTTTAGCATTTATGATCTTGTTAGATGATGCAAATGCCTCAGCCTAGAAAGCCTTATGAATCTTCACCACATGGGTATTAGCCCCAGAATTAGGAACTTCGAGTGGTAAGCTTGAAAGCTTGAAGCACATTTTCTTATAATACCATCTTGAAGTGTACTTTTTCCATACAAACCAGAATTCTATCATCACTTACTCATATTCTGTTTCCATGAGAGATCAGACGTGGAGTGTACACTTAAACCTGTAATCAATAGCAGAGATTATCAAAAAAATTATTTTCTTGAGAGGATTCTCTCTTTCCAAAATAAAGAACAATGTTTTGTTCAAGAAAGATGTTCTTTTTTAGAGCTGAAAATATGCTTATTTGTACGTTATTTTTCATGTTACCTCTAGCATTAGTTTATATACAAATTAATTCATCGTCGAAATTTACTGTATCTTCTTTTCGTGCCCTCATGGTTACATTCAAGCATCTTTGTTTTGGTATTGTCCAACAATTGATGGCATATTATTACAACAAATGGCCAATTTATTTGATGAATGTCAACAGTCATAATCATGCGTTCACTGATTGAAACTATGATCATATCATTGTTTGTTTGCTTTTAGCAAGGACTGTTTCCTTAAAGAGATTAAAGTGTCATTATCACAACCGATCATTTATGCTTTATGTTCATATATACAATGCACGTATATACTTAGATCACGTCAACTTTAGCATCATTTAATTCCTTTAACAATTGCTAGATTGCTCTATCATGGATCCACATTTATTTCCAATTTAATTAAGTAACAATCAGCAACCTTTCTTAGGGACAATTTAGTATGTCGTTGGTCACTTCACGTCAATATGCTTAATGATTTGATGTTTCACTTGTTTAAGGTAGATTTGATGGTCCAACTTACAAAAGTTTTATCTTTATAAGTAATCAACATTTGTTCCACTATTTTAGAGTAATGTCGCATTGTTGTTATGTTGTGGTGCCATGTCTCTTTATCAAAGTAAATCTTTTGAAACATTTACTACATTTTACCCCCAAAAAAAAAAAAACATATAGGTAAAGATATTGTTTTCCCTAAAACATAAATGTTAGTGAAGATGTTCCAGTTGAATTGAAGTGGGCAAGATGGAATTATTTTTTTCTATTTACCACCTTACACTCTGTGTTTGGTAGTAAAACTTACATGATTTAAAGCTTTGTGGTGACCAATTTATATGCATATCAATTAATCGTTCCAACATACAAATACTCAAATAGTACTGATCACATCAAATAGTAGATAGGATAAATGTAATAAAGTCCTCTTATTTAACATTGCTCATTAATTAATATTTTCCATGGTGGACAAGATACGAATTAATAAGAAACAGAATGGTTATCTAAACGAGAACCTAACACATAAAGATTACAGCTAGGTTTTGCCATATGGTTGTAACACGATAATATAACTCACCAGAAAATACAAAAATGTGTTTGTGAGTACCTGTGTGTGTGTGTGTGTGAGAGAGAGAGAGAGAGAGAGAGAGAGAGAGACAGAGTCAAAGGAAATGAGAATAGCAAAAAAAAATCGGTGGAATCCAATTCATTTATTTTTAACACCCACGTATACAATATAATATATATATATATATATATATATATGTATATGTATATCTGTGTGTGTATGCTCTAATGTGAAACACTATTTTATAAAATAATGTTATTAAAATCTAAAAATTTAATTTAATGATATATTTTCATTATAATTATTAGATTAACATTAAATTTTAATATTTAATGACACTAATAATTAATTTAATAATTATAATAAATTAAGTCGTAATAACATTGACCCCTAGAAGTACTTTTGGCAAATAGAGAAGTCACGCCCACTCGCACACGAAAAAAAACCCACAAAATTCACAATGCACTACTGGAACAAGCAAACACAATGAGAGACCATGACTGCACATGGAAACTCCCTAGTCCAGGGGTTAGCTCCATGTGATTATTGAGGTACTAGGTCAATTCCTGTTTAGAAGTTCCTCAATCATTTGCAGTGCAATCCTCTCCTCTTCTTTCATCTCTTCTCCTATTTCCAGTTCGATAGCCTTTTCCGGCGTCTCAGTCGCCGGCTTCTCCTTTGGACTTTGCTCATCTTTCTTCTCCAACTCCACTGTCATGACCCAATTCGAATCAGAACGCGAACCAGCTCGCTTTTGCCACACCCCAATATGAGAATTCTCTGTGTCAAGCCTAAGGCAAGTGAGAGAAGGAGATGGGTATTTACAGCACTTGCGAAGTTTCGCACTAAGGATGGTTGAAAGAGCAGTCGAAGATGAAGGAGTAGAATTGTCATTTTTGCCAGTATGGTTTGTGGCCACTGGAAAATTTGTTTTTGCATTCCGGCCACTCATTAAAACCGCCGCCTCGTCGTAGGCTCTCGCTGCTTCCTCCGCCGTTTCAAATGTTCCAAGCCACACCCTTCTCTTCCTAAAACATAGAAAAAGAAGAGAAGAAACAATATATATTATGCATTTGAATTACAAAAAAAAAAA